TTGCTGGTGCTGCTGTTACTGCTGCTGTTGCTGCTGCTGTTGCTGCCCTTGCTGCCGCTGCTGTTGCTGCTGCAATTGCTGGTGCTGCTGCTGCTGGGACTCAGTGACCTTGGTGCTGGCACTTTGCTGCTGCCGCAAAGCCTGTTGCACGTCTGCTGCTGCCGCTCCTGAGCACATTTCAAGTTTGTTGCGCTGCTGCTGCTGCTGCTGCAGATGGTCTGCTGCTGGTGGCTGGGGGCGACAGCAGCTCGGGCCTCTGCAGCGCCGCTGAAGTGGCCCAGGGGGCCCCTGGGGGGGCCCCCTGGAAGGCAGCAGGAAACTTGCACCAGCCCAGATGCAAACACGGTCTGCTGCTGCTGCTGCTGCTGCTGCTGCTGCTGTGGACAGCTGACGGGGGTGGAAGGGATTCTGTGCCGATTTGCTGCTGCTGCTGCTGCCGCTGGTCCTTTGGGCAGCTAGTGAGAGGCTACAGGGGTTCTATGCCGGCCTGCTGCTGCTGCTGCTGCTGTTTCTGCTGCTGCAGCTGGGTGCGTCGTTGCTGGAGTGCTTCCTGTGGTGCTGGGCGGCAGCAGCCGAAGCAGCAGCAGCAGCAGCAGCAGCAGCGCTTTAGCTTCAGTGGAGATGTGCGACCCTCTAAGGCACAGCGCCTGGATAAACCTTCCGCCAATGCTGCAGCAAAGACAGCAGCTTGCTGCTGTCGCTGTAGGTATGTGCTGCTGCTGCTGCTGCTGCTGCTGCTGCAGTTGCTGCTGCTGCTGCAGTTGCTGCGGCTGCTCAGCAGCCTCGGCAGCCACACTGCAATACGTCTGTTTAGCTGTAAATGCACTAGCTTGCGCTTAGGCCCCAAAGCGCTCCAATGCGCCTCTGCTGCTGCTGCTGCTGCTGTTGCTGCTGTTGCTGCTGTTGCTGCTGTTGCTGCTGTTGCTGCTGTTGCTGCTGCTGCTGCTGCTAGGGAATATGCTGGTGGCGCTGGGCGGCCGCGACAGCACCGGCAACAAAGGCCTCGTGCTGAAGACTTGCGAGCGTCTTTTGCTGCCTCTTTCTTCGGAAGCCCCTGCAGCAGCAGCAGCTGCTGCTGCTGCGGCCAGTGGAGGAGGAGGAGG